GGGGGGCCGGTCCCCATGCAGCCCCTCGGGGAGCGGGGAGGCACCGGGGCAGCGCTTCCCGGCTGGTGCTTGGGGTCAGCACCCCGAAAGCCTGGTGTCTCCTCCCGGAGCTTCAGCCCTGTGACCTGTCCTGCGTGGGGACGTGCGTGGGGACGTGCGTGGGGTGAGCCGGCCGCCTCCCGGCAGCCCCCCGTGGCGCAGCCCCCCGGCACCGAGCAGGGGGGATCCCTGCGGTGAATTCTCCTCCTAGATATTCGTGGGTTTGGGGGAGATAGATAAACCGTGCAATCGCACAGCAAGCCTCAGACTCTGAGAGGCACAGATGACTGGTAGACCAGCAGCAGGAGGAACATCGAGGTTTGGTTTGTGAGTGGGAAATGCAGTGGAAGTGTTGGAGGCTGCCAGCTTTAGAATAGATCAGAGAAAGGAGACTGGAGCAGAAAGGAGTTTTCACTGTGGTCTGTCCCCTGTTTCCAAAAGTTAAATGAAGATTGCTTGCTGATAGTTTTTTTAAAGCTGCTGCCATAAATCTTGCTTTAAAAATAAAAAATATATTTTTAAATGCTGCTCTTTCTCGATGAGAGCTGAATGCTGACAGGTTTCCTCTGAATCATAATAAATTAGCAAAGAGGATGTGATCAAAGAGCATGTAGGAGTCTTCAGATATATTAGAGAGATGAAGATAGATGGATAGTCGTTGACTCAGACTGCCATAAGACAGAGGTGCAAGTAGGAATACAAAATTGGAAATAAATGCTAGGAAAAGCACCCTGGTTGAAAAGAGGGAGCAAGTAAGTAAGGAGAGACTCTGCAGAAACGGTTTTGTTTCTGAATTCAGCTACAATGGTCCATATGCAAAGAGCTTTGGACAAAAAGATGACTAAATTGGGCTGGAACAAGAAAAGTGTGTGGATAAAATAAATGACAGAATCTCGTAAGAATAGATTTGTTTGATATATGTTACCTCAGTGCAGTGGTTTTGTTGAAATCTCTGGCTTGGTGAATTGGGTAGGACAGTCAGTTTCCCTTCCAGAAAATGCCTCTCTTTTTATGAAAGGAGAAATGTCTTAATAGAAATGTCTTGACACAGAAATAAAATGTGAAAACCACCCATTCCATTCCTACAGCTGTGAATTCACCTTGGGTGCTGCCTGGTTAGGGACATAGTGGAAAAAAACCAGCAAACCAACGGTAGAAGCGCAGGTTTCCTCAAAATGCAGGCAAACGGGAGCTTCAGAAAGCAACTGCACCTCTTGAATGATTTGGGTCTTTGGCTGCTTCTGGTCAAAAAGCAGTGGCTTTCAGGCCAGGACCCTCTCACCAGGTGTCTGCGAGATGGTTTCTAAGAGAGCGACACAAGTTCATTGTGCTTGTCTTAGATATGCGGGAGTTTGCGCCATCTCTTGAAACTCTGCAGGGAGGTGCTTTGGAAAAGATTCTGGGGATCTTGAACCTTGCTGTGCCTGTGCTTTGGTCTCTCCACAATTGTTTGCTTGCTTCTGAGATGTCCCAGGTGTTATATTGTCTGCTCGGTTGGCTAGCATGCCCTTAAATACATTATTCCTGTGAATACATTATTCCCGAAAGGGAGTGTGTGGGGAAGGGAAAAGTTTAAATACTCCATGTCTTCACCAAAGTGCCATGCAGGTGGAAGCTCCTACCCAGCCTGTGTGCCTCTTGTTTTCAGTTCTCTGAGCAACCCAGACTTTCCCTTTGAGCATTGCAAGGTGGCAAGAGCATAAACCAGTGAGAGGAAGAGGTGCTGCAAAGCCCAGGAGGAAGGTGTTCAAATGGGGTCCATCGCTTGGTGGCCTTGTCTGCTGTCCCCCCGTTCTGGGAGGTGGAAGTGTGCTGAGGAGGGCACCACAGCTTGCGTTCACCCAGTGCCTGTATCTCTGTCAGCTGGCTGTGGGCATTTAGGAGCCTGTATGGCTCATTTTCACTGAAACTGGACCTGAAAAGTGGTGTGTAGAGCAGTAGTGCCCTCGGTTGAGGAATCCCTTGCTCTGGGACCTGCTGTGGTGATTTCTACCTGGTTTCCCCACGTCCTCTTCCTTCCCATTCTCTTCCATCCCATTCTCAGCACCTTTTCCTCCCTCTGGCTCATAATTTTTGCTACTCCCCCGTCCACATCTTGTGTTTCTTCTCCCCCTGTGACTGCTGTCCAGCTTCCTGGTGTAGGGACCATAGACACAACTGCTGTGATGAAACCTATTGCCTATTCCAGAAGCATGCATGCTTTTGTGGCACATTTAAAATGTAGTGGTGAGCAGCAGAGGAAAGCCTTTGGTTTACACAAACCCTTGAAGCGCAGGGGTCTCCAAACACGCACGTGCAGACCCAGAGATCTGCACGTAAATGTTCTGGTTTTGTCCTTGCCCCTGGGCAACGCTTCAATGCCATGCACAAAGCTCCCTTCGCAAGCGGGGCTGAATTGCTCTGTGGCTGAGAATGCCTCTTTCTGCACAGGGGAAGACAGCTGTGTTTGTTTAAACTGGTTAAAATGAATTTAGGTGCAGGACAAGCCCATAGCTCCTCTCTTTGTGCTCTCCCTGTCAAGTTTGGGCGGGACCTGATCTCTGCAGTAACTGGAGAGAAGGTTTGCACAACTGCATGGGAATGTGAAGTCCCAGGTTCACCTTGTGTGACTTCTAGCTCCAAATCTGACACACCGATGTTAGGTGGGGAGGGATGGGGAAGCAACTCCAGGAGGCAAAGCAGGTTTTGGGTAGGTCTGACTGCTCTCTGGAACGTATGAAGGGAAACTGGGCAAGTAAACATCTCCACTGATCATCTTATTGAGTGTCCTGATGTTCTGGGAGATGAATCGAGGCCCATGGACTACTCTGGAGTCTCAGGCTTTTTGTACTGGCTTTTCTAAGTTGTACAGGGCTCTGAGCAACCTGATCTACTTAGTGGTGTCCCTGCTCACTGCGGGGGGGTTGGACTAGATGACCTCTAGGGGTCCCTTCCGACCCAAAACTTTCTATGATTCTATGATTCTATATGCACGGACAAGGTTGTACTATGCTGTTACATTATACTTCTCTGCCAGATGTGCTACTCAGGAGGTGGGAAAGATTTTTTCAGAAGCAAAATAAACAAGAACTTGAATTGAATGCCCAGCACAGCACTTATCTTTAAGATGAACTGCATTGTAGGATTCAGGACGTGTACAGATGTTCTTCTACTCTGTTGTGCTTGAGTGTATGTTCCTTAATTTCCATCCCAGAGAAGCGTCCCTACTTCAGCCCAAGTTATTGCTGTTCCTCAACCAGGGAGGTTTCAGTAAGCTATATCTTCCTTTGTAGAGATAAAAAATAATAACCTGCAGAACTCAATTCTTTTTTCCACCCTAGCATACGTGTTGATTGCCAGACATTGTGTAGCTTTTCATTTTACAAGGGTAAATTCTCCTTTGTTTAACTGCAGTTTAATAAAAAAGCTTAACCATGCATCTGGAAAATGTCTGAGTGGATAATCTGACCGCAGAGATTATTCCCATGCGCTTCAGTGTCTCTGCTGAGCGTAGAGCTGCTGAGGACCGATCCCAGCTTTCCTGCTCACTTCTCCACTTTGGGAGGGTGCGAGGCGGGTGCTTGGAGTTCTGCCAGTAGCACACCCAGGGGTAGTGGGTGGCTGTGGGCAGAGATGTTGCACAGCCACGGACACACCGTGCTGGCTCTGCTGGGGCCTGGGAAGTGCTGCACGCCTGCAGAGCCCAGGTGGACGGGCAGGTGGGGAGCGTTTCTCACCGATTGTACCCAGCAGCCACTGATCCCCCGCATGTCACCATCTTCCTGCCGGGTCTCGTCATCGCTGTTCCCGTTGCTCTGCTCGGCCCTGCTAACGTGTTTCTCCTCTGTGTCTCAGCTACACCCTGGACAACAATGTCCTCACCACAGAGCAAAGGCAGTTCTATGAAGACAATGGGTATCTGCTCATTAAGAAGCTCGTTTCTGATGAAGACATTGAGCGCTTCAGGTATGAGGCACTTGCCTAAGGTCCTGCGGAGTCCTGTGTGCAGCAGAATTCTGAGGGAGCTCTGGGACGCTGGAGGTCGCTGGACTCTCCCAGCACTGACATTCCCTCTGCTTTGCAGGAAGGAGTTCGTGAGGATCTGTAAAAAAGAGGTGAATCCACCGGGAGCTATGATTATGAAAGACGAGTCCCTGCGATCCCAGTATGGTCAGTCTGAAAAAGGAGTAAATAAAGTGCAGGACTTCCAGGAAGACAAAGAGTTGTTCAGATACTGTACTCTGCCAGAGGTAAAATAAAAAAAAATAAATAAACAAACAAACAAAAAGGGGGATGGTGGTGGAAAAGCCTATATGAATGTATTCATGTTTTCATGCCTGTGTGAATAAGCTTTTTTTGGTTCTGCTAAAGCTCCATCCTTTATCCCTCAGAGCCCCTGTTATGTCACTCCCATAAGCACATATGTAAGGAAGGAATATCAAGCCATCTTTTAAGAGTGTTCTGCATGAACACGGGTTGGATGGTGGTCAGGGCAGAAGAGTTAAAGCAGTGTCCTGTGCTCCCGTGGTGCGGAGCCAGCAAGGAGTGCGACTAGCCCAAACCGTGCCAGGCTGGTAGGGCAGATCAGCAACATTTTCTGAATGTCTTCTGTCCAGGCAAAGCATCTGCTCTCTGGGCAGGCCCAGCTTTGTAGCCAATGCTCGTATTGTGGCACACAGCCATAGCTTTGGGGAATTACGATCCTCCCCATCTTTTCAACCCCACCCAGAAGCATGCTGCACCTTCTTCCATCTTGGCCTCCTACCACCATGACAGATCCTACCTCCTGTCCTGCATCCCTCCATCCCGACCTCCTCCTCCTCCTGTACCCTAGTCCTCAGCCAAATACCCAGCTCCCAGTGTTTCCTCAGCAACCTTTGCTCTTGTCTTACACGTTTCTAATATATTTTTCTAATGTTTTCTTCCCTGCAGGTCCTCAGATACGTTGAGTGCTTCACAGGGCCAAACATCATGGCAATGCACACCATGCTGATAAATAAACTTCCAGATTCTGGTAAGGAAAACTTGGGTAAGAAGAAAATAGAGAAATTGTTGTGTGCATGCTGTCTATCTGGCCAAAACTGAACTCAGTGTTTTAGAAAAGCTGATTGAAAAAAAAGAGACTAATTAAACCCAAAGAACTCTGAAAATTTACGAGGCCACTTCGGTAATAGTTTGTTTTCTTTTAACCTTGGCTTAATGAGATAGCATTTTTTGTCTTTCAATGTTCAGTGGATGTTTGTTTGCGAAAGATGGTGGTTGTCTTGGCTGCACACTCACATGTTCAGAGCAGGCAAGCGGCTCCCTATTCAGCCATCTGCGCTTGCATAAAGGCCCGGGGTTTAAAACATGACATGCTTTTTAAGCTCAACTTTTCAAATGTGTTGAAAACAAGTGCTTCCTTGCACGAGCGGACCTTGGTAAAAGGCAATAAATACAGAGATCATCCTTTGCTTGGAGTTCATGCGCTCCTGACCTCACTGACAGTTGTTGCACGCTCAGCACTTTGATATGAAGATACTTGAATAGGTGCCAAAAGAAGGTTTTTGAATCCTGGCATTGGGTCCTGCTGCTAGAAATTGAGATCATAATTTATACAAGGGTGATGGGCAGGGAGAGAGGAAGAGAACAGGACTAACCGTATTACAGTTTTTTAAAGTAGCTTTGACTCTGCATAAGCTGTTGCCGTTTAGTGAAGTTGAGACCTGAGCTATGTTTCTTATTCTCAGGTGTGCAGCTTCTGAGCAGATACAGAGTACATTCAGTTATGAAAATACTGAGTTTGTTCAAGTCCTCACCACTTGTGATCTTAAATACTCCACAGAAAGCTGTGTCACTCTCATTTGGAAATTCAACAGGAGACCATATGTTTTTAAAGTAAAAACAAGACAACAACGGACAAGAAATGGGAAGCTGCTCCGTATTTGCAAGGTCTCCATTCAATACCTTTGAGGAGCTCTTTAGGAAAGGTGCAGGTTTCAGGAGAGTTTTCGAGGCTGCCCAAAGTCTAAATAATATGGCAAATGAGGCAAGTGGAAACATCCTAACTATATCTATTTGAGGAACAAATTCCATGGCAAAATAAAAATATAAATAAATATATAAATAATATATAGAAGGCTCTGTTGGTGTGGATGATATGTTTCCATTTCCATAGCGGGAAAAAAAGTAACACGCAAAACTTCAGAAATATTTATTTTTGTTTAGACTTCATGGAAAAAAGGCCTCTAGGGCAAAGGCTAATAGACTGCTATGTAGACTGCCTGGGGAGGCTGCAGTCCATAAATTGAGATTTATTTTTTTTTAAAAAAGAAGGCTAAATAAATATGTGTTGGGTGCAGCACAAACAGGGTTGATTCTTCTTGCAACAGAGCAATAGATCAAGCGAGTACAGACAGCATGGCTGTTTGAAAGTCTTTGTACTGGGAAAGGTTTGTGCAACACCATACTGATGCAAGTTCACAAACGTGGAGAGCAGCTGAAGTGAATGGTGAAAACTTGGCAGGGAGTTGGTGGTGGTGAAGGCCAGCACAAGGAGTCTTCTGAGGGATCACACAGACAGGCTGTCTCCTGGCATCCACTGTGTCCCTGTGCCATTGCTGACCCAAGTCCCTTGGTCCATCTTGGGATGGGGTGTCAGCTAATCCATTTGGTATCTAAGTCAGTGGTGGGCTGGAGCAGACACTGAGTACACAAAGTCTCTCCAGTGGCAAGCAGCAGCTTCTTGGGACAGGTTACAAGTGGAACAGTTGAATGGGAAGGAAAAGGCTGTGTCACGTTTGATGAAGTTGAAGGTTTTGAACCTGTGTTGCAGATAAACAGACTTTTCTCCACCCCATGCATCAGGACTTGCACTATTTCCCCTTCCGTCCTGCGGCCCGCATCGTGTGCTCCTGGACCGCCATGGAGAGGGCTGACGAGGACAACGGGTGCCTGGTCGTGCAGCCAGGGACGCACAAGCAGCCCCTGAAGCCTCACGGCTATCCACAGTGGGAGGTAGAGCGGCACGGGGGGCTTGGGAAGGGCGTGCATGATGGGACCATATTTTGGCTGGGGAGAGCTCACCGTGGAGGGATGGTGTGCAGGTCAGAGCTGAAGTTTTCAGTGGTGGTTTTCCTGTTTATGCAAACAGTGACTTGTTGCTTTGGGAGAGAGCTGCTTGGCTGGCCTCACTCCATGTAACCTGGGTAGATTTGCCTCTTCGTACCTTCACCTAGAAATCATCCAGCACATCGTGGCATAACAGCATAAACGCATAAATGCATACAACCGTTTTCCACTGCCCTTGCCAAGTCTGAGGACTCTTTCTCCTGCTGTGAATTTGTTCCTGCCTGGCGAGCATGTGTACTGTCCCGAAGAGGAGAAATTGGATAGCCAACAACTGGATGCAATTAAATATCAAGTGGTATCTTCCTCTTAAGAATAGATGTTTCCTGACCTGACTTGTTGTTAGTGATGATTATACTGGGAGCAGAAGGCTGGACCCCAGTGGTGGCATCAGGCCACACCTGTGGGATTCCCCGGTGCTCTTCTCTATTCTCTCCAGCCAAGAAATGTTCTTAACTGTCTGAATCCAGCTTCAGAAAATGGAAGAAGTATTTTTTTGCTGTACCTCAGGCTTGAAGTAGGAATACTTGTAGACAAGAGGGCAGGCTCTTAGTTGGGCACACCGAAGACACTGCCCAGAGGAAAGCCGATCAGTAGCTGACCTTGCTGTCCCTTGCACTGAGAATCAGCACCTGCTCTGATTGTAACTGAGTGATTTCAACTTAGCCTTTTTTTCTAGGGTAAAACCAACAAACTTTTCCATGGGCTGCTTGACGAGGATGAGAAGATTCCCAGGGTTCATCTTGTCATGGAGAAGGGAGACACGGTGTTCTTCCATCCCCTGCTCATTCATGGCTCTGGGATAAACAAGACATCAGGTTTCCGAAAGGTAGGAAACCATCTCTTGATATAGCTTTTGGTATTTCTGATTTTTTAAAATTAGTTTCCTAATATAGTGTTACACTCGCTTTTTTGTTTTTAAATATCTCTGTCTTTTGGGAGAAGAGCATGCTGTGGGGCTGCTTGAGAAAAACAGAGCAGGAGCAGAAGTTAGACGTTGAATCAATGTTTGAAGCCTGGCTGGCTGTACTTGCTTTTCCAATAGTTCCCTTTCAGCTGTCCCAAATATCAGGAGCTTCTCTGACTTTATTCCTAACTCTGCCTTCTCGGTGTCTCGTCCCTGGATAGCAGGAGCTGCCATCATTCAATAAATAATATTTATTTATGTGATAACATGACCCATGTCTCTATTAAAGATTTGGTTGTGCATCATCTGTTTGTTTTGCATCACAATTATTTAACCGAAACAGGCAAAAGTGCCCTCCTTTGGAGGCCTGACCCTTTCTCAGCAGTGGATTCATCCAGGTACGTAAGGGAACTGTAGCCTCTAGCGTAGGCACTAGTAGCGGTGCAGGTATTTCCCCTCACACACAGCAAAACAGGCTGCTCTATTTTTATTTTGTTTTGCCTGCATCAACGACTGCATGGCCTGTTCTTTCAGCCCCAGTAGCAGTCTGCTGGTATGGAATTCCTTCCTGCTGCAATCCTGAAAGCAGAGAGGACATCAGGTACCAAGAGACTCATCTTCTGTCCCTCTCCTGGCTAGTGGAGCAATAGCCCTGTTTAGTACCCCACAGAAACAGAGCTTCCTCGTACCACGCCAAATCCCAACATTTCTCTGCCTTTGGAGTAAATCATGGAGTTTCCAGAGCTCTCTGAGACAGTTTATGACCCAGGACCCTTTGAGATCTGGCACGATCTTGCTTGCAGCTGGCATAGCTCATGTAATGAGAGGACAATTTTTTTCTGGTGGGGTATTTCTGTTTGTTTCCTCTAGAGCCTGCTTAAGCAAGAACTGATTACAAAATAAGAGGGTTGATGTGACTGTCTGGGTGCAGAAAGTAAGAACCCTTACTGAACACACAGGTCTGCTCCAACCTTGACTTTCCCTGTTCCCACTCTGGTTGCTGATATTCTGAGATCTCGTACAGTTCATGTGGGGGAGCGTTTGGGAGAGAAGCGAAGGAAGAAGAGCAGTCAGCAAGCAAGAGCATTTCTCCAGCAAAAGTATTTCTCCAAGGGGGTACTCTCAGGAGAGCAAGAGTGCTGGCAAAGGAGGAAGGAATTTGCTGACATGATCTGCAAGGAAGGGGTGGGGTGTCCATGATCCGGGATGCACGAGATTTTTTTCCACCAGTCATTTGTAATGGATGTGGTAGTGACTGATGCCCAATTTCCTCACACAGAGTATAAGCTGTCACTTTGCCAGCTCGGAGTGCTACTACATTGACGTCAAGAACACGACCCAAGAGCACCTGGAGAAAGAATTGGTAGAGATGATTCGCAAGAAATACGACACGACTTCCGTGGAACTCAGGGTAAGACCTGCCTGTATGTCCTTTGTTACAATCCAGGTCAGTTCCTTTTGCTAAGTCTCTCTTGTCGGACAGATTTGTGCTTTTTGCTGTGCCCAGTTTGGTAGACCAAGCTGTGCCAAGCAGAGGTGCTGGGCAGAATAAAAAACCTGATGTTCAGAGGGTGACCGGCAGGCTTTTTTGGGGCCTTTTTGCTCATAAGGCTGCTTCTTGCTATGCTGGAGAAGCGGCCTTGCTCTCCGGGCGGCCCCTTCACATCCCTTGAGCTCTGGAAGTTCCTCTTCCAGCTCTACTTGTCAAAATGGGTTTGGTGAGCACACGCTGATCCCTTCCAGTGCCGGCTGAGCTGGTGCAGATTAGATCAGCACTTCGTTATGCGGCTGCGACTGATGCTGTAGTGAGGAGGAGCTGTGGACTCTGCTGTCGTGATGGCTCAGCTCTGAGGCTGCTCGCATGCACTTCTTGCACCACTGGAAGGGGTCTAGACTTCGCCCCACGGGGTAGCAGTGGGAGGGCTAACGTGGCAAGGCTGGAACAGGGTGAAGTCTATGCAAGCCTTGCCCTTCACTGCATCTCCTGGTTCACGGTCTGTTGTGGGGAGCGTGGCTGAACCAGAGCTCCTTGGAGCTACATTTGGACTGCACGGTGTGAACAGGAAGATGCGGTCATCTCTTGCCCTGAATTCATAGCTGTAAGAAGGTGCAATAAATCCAGTGCCCATCCACAGTTTGTATCTATGTCCACAGTTCTTAGTTTCCCCTCCTAATGGCAGGTGGATTTTCCTTTTAAAACAAGTAGCCACCTCTGACTACAGTAGTAGACTGAATTTTTTTAGTTAAATATAATCCCACATCAACTGTTTAGACTTGAGGCTACAGCAGGTATGTCAGCAGCCATATACGTCTGTCTCAAAAAGAAAATATGGGGGTAATGGACTCTTGCTGAGTAACTGAAACCATTGCATAACATGGAAAGCAAATCTAAATTCTTCAGGGTTTCAGCCACTGAAAGACAAATAAACCTTGTTACTGGGGTGGAAATTTTCTGAATTTCTTAACAGCAGTGGTTCCCAAACACGTGCACAGCCAGTATCAAGGCAGTAAAGTCTAGATGTAATAGGCAGCGATTTTCTTTTAAAATTTACGTATTCTATAGATCCTACAACATCCAGGGTATTCTGGAGGAGAAGACTTTCTTTTTTCACCTTTGGAGGTTTGGTTTGGTTTGGTTTTTCCCCCAGTGTGCCGGGGTATGGTGGGGCATCCCACTGTGTTTTGCAAGCCTGATCTTACACGTTGTCTGTAAAGTCACAGTTTGCTTGACTTTTGATTCCTGGAGTTATTTAGGTACACAGCGAAATCGGAAGCGATGTGTAGCGAGGCTCTCTCCTCCTCGTGGGTGGAAATGAGTGTGTGCCCATACAAGCCTCAGATGAGTCTCTGTTTTCATGTAGCTTTAAGCCTTTTTTAACCAGAGTTGGGACTTTCTCCCAGAGGAGTGCCCAGCTCTTCTATTTCACCTTCACCAGACTAATGCTAAGAACTAAGTAAACCTCGCACAGGGAAACCAAGGTCAGAGCTTGCCCAAGACTTGCCTCTGTAAAGCAAACAGCAGTGGTCTCCTCTGCGTCACAGTCTGCAGCACTGCCTGCCAAGCACCTGACTTCTGGCTAAGGGCTGGCATTCACATCTGCTGTTTCCTGCTGGTTTCTGCTGCACAAGGAACCTCACTTGCTCACAGGCAGCAGTAGGCAAGCTGTGGTCAGCTGGTGAGCTTTTTTTGTTACCTAAAGGTGCACAAGGGAGGCACTGTGAGCACGAGCAGGTTAGGATGACTTCTGCAAGGGTCATGTTCTCTGTGCTGCTCACGTTTCCTCTTCTGCCGCCTTCCAGAACTGAACCATGGGCATCTTGCTGTCCGTGTCCCACCTGCAAGCAGCCTGTCTCCTGGAGGTGGAGGCTGCACGTCTTCCTTCGTTTGGGTTGCATTTTTGTTCTTGATATTTAGGATTTGAACCGATATTCAGTAAATGTTTTGGTATGTTTTTATGAGTGGGTAGCCAAGCTGAGAATGCTGTACCTGTTTCCACCTCTGTAAACTGGAATCCTGGTTGCCATTTTTGCTGGCCCTTAAGGCTTTTCCTTTGTCTCATTTTTGTTTTGAAGGATATTTGGAACTTCCGAGCACGGCTTGTGCAAGGGGAAAGAATTAACCTGTAGAACCACCTCTGCGGGGCAGGATGGAAAACACGTGCCTGAGAATGAGCTGCTCTGATCGGAGGGTGCAGACCCTGCAGAATTATATGTGCTTGGTTGACCTCTGATTGGTAACTTCGCCAAATGCTGCATCACAAAATCATTTTATGCTAGTACAAAATAATTGCACTGAGGTTGAACAGCTGATGTATGTCAAAGAAAACCTAACTCAGAAAAACAGAGATTTGCTGTGTTTATCTATCTTAGACAATTGAAGAATTAAGGTCTTGAAAGAACACCTTGATTTTCTTGATGTTTTCATTCTTGTATTTCAAAAGTTTCTCACATGACATACCTTTGGAATAATGCTATACTAACATAAGATTTTATGCAAAAAATTATGCAAGGGTATGTTTATTAATGTTTCTGACTTCTTTTTCTACGCAAAAGAAATAAAATGAATCAGAGTTTCACGCAAGCCCTCAGTATGAGCTCACATGGGAAGTCATTAGTACAGCTGACGAAGATGGGGATATTGGTACCAGCAAAATCAATGGTGTAAGGAGCTGGATAAAGGGGAAACAGCAGCCACTCACATCACAGAAAAATGGGATTGATGGGCTGGAACATGGCAGTTGAGTTCCTCACACATGACCTGGTGTGGCATCGTATCTTACCGAGCAGCGCTGGCACAAGTGAAATACGTGGCTGACTGGACTGGGAGCTACTGGGCCAGCAAACCAGCCTCCCGTTGGCTTTGCACTACGCCCCAAGGCTGTGTGAAACGAGGGAGTCCTCCTGTGAGCCTGGCGGGTCTGGGAAAGGGTGCTGCCAGGTCAGGGAGGCAGTGGTGCTCCTCAGGATGCACTGGTGGTGGGGTGGAGCGATGTGCTCTGAAATAGTTCTCTTGTCTTTCACAATGTTTTTCCTTGCTTTCTGAAAGGTTCTTTTGCTTTCAGAATCTATGTTTTGAAATACAGATTAAATCAGAGAAAAACTGTTTTTGTGGACTGTGCTGTGTTATTTCTGCCACTCAGAAGTTCTGGCAGTGGGTGCATTGTTGAACACCCCAGGGCAAAACATCAATCCTCAGCTCTTTTCCACTCCACCCTTCCCCCCGAAGAAGGTGCCAAAACAGCACCAAAGGCTGCACTGACGGGCTCTCACAGCTCCTTCTGCTCTGTTATCCTGCAGCTTGGCCGGTCACTCAGCTGAGACAGGAGATCAGGTACAGTCCTGTCCTCAACCCACAGGGCTCAGACTCTTCTCCCCTGGGGGACTGCCTGGACAAGCGGCTGCAAGTCAAAACTGTTGCAGTCATTTCATTCACAACACAAAACTGGGAGGAGTGGTGGATACCCCAGAAGGCTGTGCTGCCATTCAGCGAGACCTGGACAGGCTGGAGAGTTGGGCACAGAGGAACCTGATGAGGTCAACACGGGCAAATGCAGGGGCCTCACCTGGGGAGGAACAACCCCCATGTACAGGCTTGGGGCAGACCTGCTGGAGAGCAGCTCTGCGGAGAGGGACCTGGGAGTGCTGGTGGACAACAGGTTGGCCATGAGCCAGCAGTGTGCCCTGGCTGCCAAGAAAGCCAATGGGATCCTGGGGTGCATTAAGAAGAGTGTCGCCAGCAGGTCGAGGGAGGTTCTCCTCCCCCTCTGCTCGGCCCTAGGGAGGCCCCATATGGAGTACTGTGTCCAGTTCTGGGCTCCCCAGTTCAAGAAAGATGAGGAGCT